CTATCTATCTATCTATCCATCTATCTATCCATCCATCCATCCATCCAGCTAGAACACAGATTCCACTGCTAGCATCCACTGATGCTACATGCTAACAGGAAGTAAGAGACTTTAGAGACACTCTGGAAGAGAGTCTATCTATCTCCTTCTCTCTCTCTCTCTCTCTCTCTCCATCATCCATCCATCCATCCATCCATCCTTCCCCTCCTCACCTGGTTCCCGTGCAGGAACGGTTCCGTGTTGGGTTCCACGCCGGTGGCGCTGACCACCAGGTCGCAGCCCACCGTCCTCCCATTGGTCAGAAGGACCCCCACGGGCCAGTCGCCCCCCCCATAGTGGTGGGGGGGGGGGGCCCGGGGGGAGTCCCCCCCCCCCCCCCGGGGGGGGGGGCCCTGCTGGGGGGGGCCCTGGTAATGGAGCAGCTCCCCGGGGGTCAGGACCCGCTGAACCTCACACTGGTATTCCACTGACACTCTGCGGGAAACCTGCCGGGATCAGAGGGGAGATTTAGAGAGGTTAGCTGGATTCAGAGGAGAGCTCAGCAGGATTCTGGTTTCTGCTGGTTTTTGGTTCTACCAGTTTCTACCGGTTTCTGTTCTTTCTGGTTTCTGCTGGTTTTTGGTTTCTGCTGGTTTCTGGTTCTACCAGTTTCTACTGGTTTCTGTTTTTTCTGGTTTCTGGTTGTTTCTGGTTTCTGGTTGTTTCTGGTTTCTACTGGTTTCTGTTTTTTCTGGTTTCTGGTTTCTGGTTGTTTCAGTTTTTTCTGGTTTCTGGTTTCTGGTTGTTTCAGTTTTTTCTGGGCTCTGCTAGTTTCAGTTTTTTCTGGTTTCTACCGGTTTCTGGTTTTTGCTGCTTTCTGTTCTCTGGTTTTTGGTTTCTGCTGGTTTCTGGTATTTCTGGTTTTTCTGTTTTTTCTGTTTCTGGTTTCCGGTGGTTTCTGGTGTTTTCTGGTTTCTGTTTTTTTTTTGTTTCTGTTTTTTCTGTTTTTTCTGGTTTCTGCTGGTTTCTGGTGTTTTCTGGTTTCTGTTTTTTTTTTGTTTCCGGTTTTTCTGGTTTCTGTTTTCTGGTTTTTCTGACGGTTTCTGTTTTTCTGGTTTCTGCTGGTTTCTGGTTTCTGCCAGCTTGTTTTTCTGGTTTCTGCCGGCCGGTTTCTGTTTTTTCCGGTTTCTGCTGGTTTCTGTTTTCTGGTGGTTTCTGGTTTCTGCCAGCTTGTTTTTATGGTTTCTGGTTGTTCTGGTTTCTGCTGGTTTTTTCTGGTTTCCACCGGCCTATAGACCTAGTCCTGCTCACCCACCTGCTGGGCCCCCCTCAGCTCCAGTCCCCCGTGCCAGTCGGGGCCCAGAGCGCTGCCCGGCCCTGTGGGGGCGTCGCCCCGAACCCTGGAGCTGCTCTCTGCACCGGGGGGGAGAAAAGAAGCTGCTTATAAACAGTCAAAACATTCAAAAAGCTTTATTTATCCTGAGGGAAACTGCTGAGCAACCCAAATAAAAACAACCACAGTAGTCAGCAGCTGTTTAAAGTGCCTGGTGATCAATTATAGCAGCATAAAACACAGCAAATAGCTCAGAACAGACAAATTTTCCAACATCTGAAGTGAAATTTGATCAAATATTCGACTCCACGCGAAGGAAATTTCCAACAGACGACGCACAAGTCTAAGTCATAGAAAAAAATATATAAAATATAAAGATGAAATAAAAATGAATATACTAAGCTAGTTTAAAGTTCAGGTTGTGAAAGTTGGAGTAAGTTACAGTTGTACAATTATATTATTATCCAGTTTGTATGATTATTATGCTTTATAGCTCATTAGTTTTGGTCTTAAAATTTAATTACAGCAGAACTTTTACCTACGATGCCCAAACATACGAATTTTCCAACATCCGAAGTGAAATTTGATCAAATATTCGTCTCGACACGCAAAGTAAATTTCCAAAATACAACGATGACGAAGTCATAGAAAAAAACATATAGAATATATAAAAATAAATCAATATAACTAGTCTAGGTTGGTGTAAAGTTCCTGCCTAAAGTCAGAGTGAGTTAGGGTTGGTCCTGTATCTCAGTCTCCACCTCTACCTCCGTTCTTCAGTCTCTGAGCTAAAGGGCCAAAAAAAAACCTTTTTACTGATTATTTCTTTATAATTTATTTCTGTTTCCATCTCTCTTCTAGAAGTCATTTGTTTTCTTGCTATGTGTAATTATCTGCAGTATTTATTAAGGAGTTATCGTAGGTTTTTGGAACCAATTCTAGGAATTACAGAGTATTCTGATGGAATATTTGAACCAAAACACCAATATTTAACACAGAAATCGTCCAGGAACCAGTTAAACTCCTTTATAGAGGTTCTGCTGGATTTATCTGTATTTTTTATCTGTTTTCCAGTCCAAAACTCCAAACTTTTGGGGTTTGAGCCCTTTAGATGCTGGTTTAGCTCCTGGGGGGCTGTGTCTATATTTCATTTTACATATTTTTTTTAATTTTATGATTATTTAGGGGAAATGTAACAGGATTCTTTCTTTTCTAATTCATATTTCAAATTATTATATTCAAATTATTTTTAAAAAATGGATAAATTCAAAGGTTCCCAAACTCCCAAAGACAGTGAAAACTTGTAATTTCCATGAATTATTTTGGAACCAATTCTAGGAATTACAGAGTATTCTGATGGAAGATTTGAACCAAAATCCCAATATTTAACACAGAAGTCGCTCCTAGAACCAGTTAAAGTCGTATTTAAAGGTTCTGCTGGATTTATCTGTATTTTCTATCTTTTTTCCAGTGTGTTCTGATGGAAGATTTGAACCAACACACCAATATTTAACACAGAAGTCTTCCTGTACCCAGTTAAAGTCGTATTTATAAGTTTTTACTGTCTCTGTTCCTGTTTTGGCCGGAGGAAGCTACATTCTGGGAGGTTTTCTAATTTCCATTAATTATTTTGGAACCAATTCTAGGAATTACAGTGTATTCTGATGGAAGATTTGAACCAACACACCAATATTTAACATAGAAGTCATCCTGGAACCAGTTAAATCGGATCTAGAGGTTCTACTGTATCTGTTACTGTATTGTTACTAACTGGACTCTCTCCTTTCCCCGTAGTCGTGTGCTTTCTCGTCCCCCTTCTCTCTCCTCTCTCCTCCTACACTTTATGCAGATATTCCTGGCTCTGGATCTGTGGTTGGGAGTTTCCTGCTGCCCCCGTGTTCCTGCTCTGTTCCCGTCATAACTTCTACCATTATCATTAGTATTAATATCATTGCCATTTTTCATCTAGTCTACGTGTTGCTGTGTAGGCTTCCTCTCTCTATACTTCTCTCTCTCTCACCCCCAACCGGCCATGGTCCTGCTCCAGGTTTCTGCCTGTTAAAAGGAAGTTTTTCCTTGCCTGTGTCGCCTAGTGCTTGTTCATGGTGGGAATTGTTGGGTTTCTGTAATTAACTTCAGAGTAGGTCTGACCTGCTCTGTTTGGAAAGCTGTGAGACAACTGTTGTTGTGATGTAGCGCTATAGAAATAAAATTGGATTGAATTGAATTGAATTGTTCCTATTTCGGTCGGAGGAAGCTACATTCTGGGATGTTTTCTAATTTCCATTAATTATTTTGGAACCAATTCTAGGAATTACAGAGTATTCTGATGGAAGATTTGAACCAACACACCAATATTTAACATAGAAGTCATCCTGGAACCAGTTAAATCTGATCTAGAGGTTCTACTGTATCTGTTCCAGTGGAAGCTACATTCTGGGAGGTTTTGGGGCAGGAACTGACTCCCTTTGGAGCAGTAAATGCGTCCCACAGACCTGCGGTGAAGGTGTGAGGCTGGTCCTCGGTGGTGTAGCGGGGCCTCTTGCAGGGGGTCGCTGCCTCCGGTTTCTGGGCCTCCAGAGAAGGGATGAAGAACTGGGCCGCCCCCGGGTCAAAGAAGGTGTTCCCTATGGCCTTATCCTTCACCGCCCAGACCACCTCACAGCCCTCCACCTCATACCTAGGGATGGGGATCGTTAATATTTATTGATATCGATGTCTTTATAGATACTCCTTATCGATCCGAGTCTTTATCGATACCACTATCCATACTTTTCTGTTATTTGGTGGAAAGACGATCTGACAATATTTAGCAAATAAATAATTGTATTTTGAATTAAATGTAATTTTTAATAAATGTCGGCATCAGTAGTTTAATTATATATTCTAAAATAATTAGAGCAATATACAACTGTATTACTCATGTTTCTCGCCAAAACTCAATTTCCCTTTTCTTTACGTTACACTTGAACGCATCATGAAAATTATTTTTACAAAAAAAAATACAAAAATGAAGCTTCAAGCTTCAAGCTGATTAATTTTCTCTGTAAAGCTGCAACAATCAGTATCCTCAGCCTCCAAAGCAATAAAAACAGGGATTAATTAAGCTGATTTTACAGAGTTTGAGCTGCTTTAAATTCTGTTTAAGGACACAGAGAAGTCGGTAAGTGAAGACTCTGAAGGTCAAATCTGTGAATAATCTACAGGTTCTTGTTTTTTTCCTCTTTGGGAGGATGTTTGGTACTCAGCAGACTTACACCAACTCCAAGGCAATCCCTCCATTTCCAACCACAACAATTCGTCTGGCTTTGGATAAGCGCCTCTGGAACTCCTGAAACACAGACGGAGAGTCAGAAAGTCGCATTTTCTCTCAGTTTTTCTGACTTTTCAGCAACTATAAGGATCCCCTTTCACAGATAGACACACATAAATACACCTCCAGGATTCCAAAGCTTTCTATTGTACTCAGAGAGCTTTAAACTGAGAAACAGGAGGTCTACTTCAAGGTTGTGAGGAACTCTGGTAAAAGCATTGCTTTCACAGGAGGGAGGGCCAGGAAATGGAGCATAACACCAGGAAATTCACACCTCAACACTAACTCAGAAACCCTCAGGCTGTGGGTCGTACCTGGGCAACAAACCAACACGTCTTCCACGTAAAACATGCGGGTTTGTTGATTCTTAAATCTACCATACAAACACCAAACATAGTGTAAAATATGTGGGTTTATTGGTTCTTAAATACTGAGGCTGTGGGGCGTACCTGGGCAACAAACACACACATCTTATACGTAAAACACGTGGGTTTATTGGTGCTTAAATGCACCATACAAACACCTAAGATAGTGTAAAACATGTGGGTTTGTATGTTCTTAAATTCACCATACAAGCACCAAATATAACGTAAAACATGTGGGTTTATTGGTGCTTAAATGCACCATACAAAGACCTAAAATAATGTAAAATACGTGGGTTTATTGGTGGTTGAATGCACCATACAAACACTAACGCTACTGTAAAACATGCAGGTTTATTGGGGCATAAAAGCTGAGGCTGTGGGTCATACCTGGACAACAAACCCACACGTCTTACACGTAAAACATGCGGGTTTGTTGGTGCTTAAATGGACCATACAAGCACCAAAGATAATGTAAAAAATGTGTATTTATTGGTGGTTAAATGCACCATAAAAACACCAAACATAGTGTAAACATGTGGGTTTGTATGTTCTTAAATTCACCATCCAATCACCAACGCTAGTGTAATACATGTGGGTTTATTGGTTCTTAAATAATGAGGCTGTGGGTCATAACTGGGCAACAAACCCACACGTCTTACAAGTAAAACACGTGGGTTTGTTGGTTCTTAAATGCAAGGTACAAAAACCAAAGATAATGTAAAAAATGTGGGTTTATGGGTGCTTACATGCATCATACAAGCACCTAAGAGAATGTAAAACATGTGTATTTATTGGTGCTTAAATGCACCATACATCATCAAACATAGTGTAAAAAATTTGGGTTTATTGGTGCTTAAATGGACCATACAAACAATAACGCTAGTGTAAAACATACATGTTTATTGGGGCCTAAATCCTGAGGCTGTGGGGCGTACCTGGGCAACAAACCCACACGTCTTACACGTAAAACACGTGGGTTTGTTGGTTCTTAAATGCATCATATAAGGACTTAAGATAATGTCAAAAATATTTATTTATTGATGCTTAAATGCACCATACAAACACCAAACATAGTGTAAACATGTGGGTTTGTATGTTCTTAAATGCACCATACAAGCACCTAAGATAATGTAAAACATGTGGGTTTGTTGGTGCTTAAATGCACCATACAAGCACCTAGGATAATGTAAAACACGTGGGTTTGCTGGGGCCTAGATCCCGAGGCTGTGGCGTTACCTGGACGCTGTCCGTGTCCCGTATCCCCAGCACGTAGGGGTTGTCCTGGGTGAGTAGCTTCGGTCTGCCACCGCTGCAGATGCAAAGTTTTTCATAGCCGAAAACCCGTCCGTCTGCGGTTTCCAGAGACTGAGCGACAGAAACAGACGGAGAGAAGGAAGCAAAAAGTCCTTTAACACGTAATGTGAACGAGTCTCCACAAGGTGGCAGCAGTAGGCAGATGATTCCAGACAGGACTGAAGAAAATCCTCGTTTTAAGACCAAAAAAAGTAAATAACTAATCAGAAAAGACTGCATTCATTTTATATCTTCAGATACAGAGAAGTCATCCCAAAGTAAACTCCAGAGACAACCGTCTGAAGTCGATGAGCCCAAAAGAGGCTTCAAACTGGAGGCTGTCAAAGTCTACTTTGGTAAAGGGGGAAAAACAGGAAGGATTATGAACTGCTTCACTGCTCTCACTGGTTCAAACCAGCTGCCCCAGAAATGGTGGAGCTGGAATTCACCAAAGAACCACCCAAAGATAATATAAAACATGTGGGTTTATTGGTGCTTAAATGCACCATAAAAACACCAAACATAGTGTAAAACATGTGGGTTTGTTGGTGCTTGAATGCACCATACAAACACCAAATATAATGTAAAAAATGTAGGTTTATTTGGGCTTAAATGTACCATACAAACACCAAACATAGTGTCAAACATGTGGGCTTGTTGGTGCTTAAATGCACCATACACACACCAAAGATAGTGTAAAAAATGTGGGTTTATTGGTGCTTAAATGCACCATACAAACGTCAAACATAGTGTAAAAAATGTGGGTTTATTGGAGCTTAAATGCACCATTCAAACACCAAAGATAGTGTAAAAAATGTGGGTTTATTGGAGCTTAAATGCACTATTCAAACACCAAAGATAGTGTACAAAATGTGGGCTCTTGTTATAGTAGGTGTGTGCATGGTTGTTTTTAATTTTCTCAATCATTTTAGAGTCAGTTTGGAAGAGAAATGTCAAAGGTAGGAACTTTTTCTGCAGCCCTATAAAGTAAATCAGACTAAATGTGAACTGACCTGTAAAAGCCTAAGCTACATAACAACATAATTAAGACAATATCTGCTTTCCCACCACTAGATGTCACAGAAAGGAAGCTCTGAACTTGTTTTGTAATGAAGTGTTCCCTGCTTATGTCACCAGGGTCCAGTTTTCTGCTTACACGTGACTGTGTGTGGAGGGACTTTACAGCTGAGTGGATGATGGT